TGTGTGTGTGTGTGTGTGTGTGCGTGTGTGTGTGTGTGAAGACTTTTGCTGGTTACCATTTTTAGCCACGTGGTGGGGCTCTGTGGTTTTGCTTTCTGCTCCATTTTTATGGTGGTTTGCAAGAGTCAAGTGTACAACTTCACTGCGTTTAAATATGTAATATTAGAGGACAAATGTGCTTTGAATTGTAATATCTATGTCATTATTTGTAGCAGTGTTCATGCACCTCTGAATTCTAACTTGGTGGAAACTTTATTGTAACATTGTTACAAACTTTTGAACTCATCGGGTTTGTGCTGAAGATCTTTCCGGTAAATATTTCAGGGAGTGTCCTTAAGGGTGTCCTGTGTTGGTTTTGTTTCTTGAATGAGTCATTGTTCGGCCTCACTTTACCAGTACTGTATCACTTCTTGTTTCGAAATGTCACTAACCACACATCTGTTACACTTCAGGTTTTCACCAGTTATTTTCCTCAAAGGCTGACCAGCTCAGTTGATCCTATACACAAACTAATGGGAAATGCTTGAAATAAATAGAAAATGACGTGATGGAGAAGGGAAAGGGAGTGTTTATGGTATGATCACTTCTTAAAAAAGCAACTGTGTCATCCAATTCCCCTCACCATATCTCAGAAAACAGGAAACTGTGTAATATCTCAAAGCGGCTAAGAGGCCTCAGTACATTTAGACGTGGTCAGACTCATCTGAGCGTACACAGTAACTGTCTTTGAACAAACATGTCTGAACTACTTGATGCTACAGTTGACATCAGAAGTTTCATCATAGTGAAGAATGTCATGGTAATTTGGGGTTTTGAATAATTTCTTTGAACTGTCCTTTTTCCTGTTTAAAATGATTTTACAGCAGACATCTTTAACAACTTATAAAAAGCTCCTCCCTTCTTCGTAAGGGGTCACCACACCGTCTAGCTCTACATGATTGGCAGATTTTTGCCTTTCCTGACACAACTCTGAAGGAATAATGTCTCCTCCCAGGATCAAGCTGGGGATCTTTTCCTTGTTAGGTGAATGTGGAAAACACTACACTTATCTCTAATCCACACAGGTTCAAAAGTACATACACTTAAATCTTTTAGTGGGTGATGCTGAAGGTTGTTGAATCACCTTGTTGTTGAATTGTGCTATACAAATAAAAAAATAAAATAAATTTAAAAAATTCTATGGTGTCTCTTAACTTGCTAAGGTTAAGTCCTATTAACTTCTCCTTCATGATCAGGATTGACTAGTAAAGTGAAAATCATTAGAATTTCAAAGTCAGTTCAGTATACGAGGCTATCAGCTGTCTAGAGATATATTAATAAAAATTAAAATCTTAAATGTAATAGTGGTGATAAACTCCAGCCTAATCTTCACTAACTATGCAGTGCAGCTACAAAGTTGTGCTTGGTACAAAGTTGTGTTGGTACAAAGTTGTGTTGGTAAGCCACAGTAGAATTTGTGAGATATGTGTCTGTGGATCTGTTAACCAAATGTTTCCAGCCATAAAGCCGCTGTTAACATCATTGAACCAGACTATTTCTAGTTTTAAGAAAAAGTAATGATGCTAAATTTGTTTTTCAGATTTTATTCTCTTACAAGAGAAATATATGCCAGATATAACAAGTAAGCTAGAAACTGGGTTTATTTAAACATATGAAACTGGAGATATTTTTTGTGATTCGATGTGAAGACAATGTTGCTCACAACTCATAAAGATGTTAATCTACAGAGAAGTAACATCAGTGGCTGATCGTCAGTAGCATAGATGTGGGAGGTGTTACACACAGTTTGTGTTGCTAAGCTTTAAACAGGAAGCATCAAAACTTTTTTTGTTTCATGACTGGTGTGATTAGGGACAGACCGTTTCCCTTGAAGTAAACAAGAAAAAAAATGAAATAAAAGAAGCTAAACTTCGTGGCGTGCACATACATGTAGAGAAGAGACCACTTAGAAACACCACACTGTGAGTTTCAGTCATTGCCGGTAAGCTCTCTCTGCTTCACATGAACACGTGATACCAAGAAAACCACAGTGGTGCTGGCCAAAGAGACACTGCAGCAGCTACACAGTTTCAGGTTCTTAATAAAGACTCCCCTCATAACAATATTAGTTCATCTTCTTTCTGATTATAGTACAAAAAACTGTAAAATGTCTTAAAACTATGTTTATTGTACTGATAGAGATATGGATAACCCCCATAAGGTTTAGCAAAAGCATTCTCATACAGTATCATAAAAGGAAACTTTCTATACATGTTTGATAATGTATGTGGCGTATGAGTTTTTGGTTTCCTGTTTTATTTTGGTAGTCACCAAACCTTGTGCATTTCATGTTGTTGTCTTCCCACTTCTGCTATTACTTAACTAATACCTTTTTCCACCTCGTGTCTTGTTTTTACATTTCTTGCCCCTGCTCCCATCTTTGTCTTTGGTTCTGCGGTATCTTCCTGTTAAAATATATTTGAAAGGCATTGTCTGATCTAATTTGAGTTTTTCTGATTTCTCTCTTATATTGTAAGGTCTTTGTCTTGCAGTTTAAAGCACCTGGAGATGACTGTTGTTTTGCACTGACACTAAATAAAAAGAATTGAACTTACCCACATCATAAAATGAGATTTTAGAAGCATTGTAACTGTTGCCAAATATTTTTGTGTTTTTATGATCAAATTATAATGTCCTTTTAAAGATGCAATCTTTATTAGCTGACTGTTATTTTGAGTTTTAGAGGACCTGGGTATTCTGATGTAATGCAACAACATTTATGGTGGTAAGTTTACAGTTATTAGTCAACTAATAACCTAATAATCTAATGTAGGATTGTATCAGGTATAGGGAGAAAAACATTAACTGAAATCCAGCGTGCAACTTTTAAATTGAATTGTTCTGTTGCATGAACTGTCCTTAAATCAATGATCTGAAGCTAAAAAGAATAGATTAACCTTTGTACAGTGCAATATTTGACTTCCTCTTATTAGGGCTTTGTGATATAATGAAAAAATATTGGTGCCAGAATGAAAACATCTTTTAATGTAAGAGTGACATTAAAAGCAGTTATACTGGCCAAGAGAGCTATTTTCTATAGTTTGTGAGTAGGCTATACAGGCTGTGGGGCTGTAGACACACAGATAAGAAAAAACACAGCCCAAGTTTCTACATAAAAACTAACCAATAAGAGAGTTTACTGATATACAGACATGGCCTCTTAGCAACAGCATACAAAGAACAGTAATGTACACAGTTTCCACAGGCAGTAATAAAACACAAAGCTCAATGATAGACAGCATTAAACATCTTTAGGTTCTTGCTTGGTGCATTCATAAAGAGACAATAACATTCAGCAAATAAAAGTAATAAAAAAAAGATGCAGAGATCAAGTGAAGAGAGATTTTTTTTTTTTAAAGTGACTTAGTTTAAGTTTCTGCTTGGACAGAAGCCTTTCAATATGAACGTTAAATGAAAAATCCTGGTCTGTAACAATTCTTAGATGATTATAAAATTTGACAATTTCAGCCGCATAAATAGTTTTGATTTTAGTGAGTGTAGAGAACACTGAACAACATCAAGGGTTTGTACTACTGAAGGGGAATCATTATGCTATCTGAAAAAAAATAGAATACAGCATTTGATAAATTATAAGAAACGTGTTTTATATATTAAAAGAAATCCCTTCTCACCTCTGTGGGCAGTCTTCAAGCTCGGGTCCTCTACCAGAGGCCTGGGAGCTTAAGGGTCCTATGCAGTATCTTTGCTGTTCCTAGGACTGCACTATTCTGGACAGAGATCTCCAATGCTGTTGCTCATTTCTTGGATTTAATTTAGGATTCTGAAATATTTAATTTTAGTTATTAGCTTCTCACATGTGGGTCCTCATTTTGATGTATAAATAGCATGTAGTTTTGGGAGACAAGTTTGGATAGGTTTAACACACACAGGGGCAGCCCAGGTAAACCCCAAGATTTCAAAACCTTGAAATGTTGACTGAATCAAGTCAGATCAGGCAGGACAGAACAGGGAGGTCATTACAACTTTACATGTAATTTCTCTGCTATGAGCAGGCTGCGTGGAAATGAGCTTTATCTTGATAATGGGTAGTTCACTTCCTCCTTTATTAAGTCTCCACACAACCATAACTTCTGGTTAAGACATGCTATTATAGACCTCATCGTGCAAATGCAGACAGAAGCCCTGCAGAGGAAATAAAAAACAAATATGCATATTTTTATTATTTACATAGCGTGCAGAGGGAACCAATACTTACCAGCAGTGTTTAAATATTTGACTATTTATGTGACAAAGTTCCACCAGGATTGCTCTAGAATAAAAAAAAATCCTTATTGTAAAGAAATATCAGGGTTAGCAAGGATAAGACTGACCATGGCTTGTTCAGGAGAACAGATGCTCACACAGAGAACTGTGGTTTATGATCTAGATCCATGTTTTTCTCTATTCTGGACATACAGGAGTGAATAAAGTTTAGGACAGCACTCTGTTAAGTATAAAATTTCTCATGGCAGGATGTGGTTATGTTCTGCACAAATGTTATTAGATAGAGACTCTAATCTCTCATCTTATCTTTACATCTAGCTCAGATTGTAGCAGTAAATACAGAGTTTAATGCAATTAATGCAGAGTGTAATGTTTAATGCAAAACAGGATTTTATAGTGATCCTCTTGAACATTCAGGCTGCTTTCTGTGACCTAATATTTATGTCATAGTAAAATGCTACTGTACAGTACAACTGTTGTATAGTATAACTGTACCTGTTAAACATCTTTTAATTAACTCATAGTTAAAGTTAAATATCTTTTTTTAAACTTGGAGTTTTAATGTGTTGTATTAATCTAGTCGTATTTTTAATAGTGTGCCTACTTCAGTCTTGTGTATATCAGGCCAGCTTATGAATTCTTCTAGTGCTTCTGTGTTGATTGAAACCTCCCCCCACTCTCCACCCCCTCAGTGTTTTCTGCACTTACTTGTAAAGCCACAGTTTGACAGACAAGAAGAGGAAACAGACGTTGTTCCTCTCTCCACAGCAATGGTTGGTGGTCGACTTTGTTATCGTAGCTACTTTCTACAGAGGATTGTGCTACTTGTCTGGGTCTGCCTCTATTGTAAGTACACTGGTTCTTGCAAATCTTTGTGATGTGTTGTATTTGTTTCTTCATGAACTCTGATACATATTTAAGGTAGAGTACTTAGGTCAAAAGTGCTTCTCCTTATGAGAAGTGACGTTTCTTCCTTGGAAGACGCTTGCACTGTATTTTTCTTGTGAATTTCAAAATGTGGCATTACTAAATGTGCCAGTAGCTTTAAAAGTACCATGCAAATTTGAGAACTGGAAGCATCCATATTAAAGAAAAATCAAAGGCTTTAATGTTCTCTAACTCTTAAATATCCTAAGAGTATTTGTTTTTTTCCTAATTAAGTCTCATGCTCACTGTGCTCACCACTTGTTACAAAAGTCTTATCCTCTTTTGAGTGTTTATAACTTCATGAACAGTGAAACTGCTATAGCTTGTGGCTCTATTTTTTTTTTTGTTTGGTTTGCATCTATACTACTTCAGATATCCTGCTGCATTTGTTTAGTAATCTAACACAACTCAATTATTAATAACCATTTCTGTTTCTGTTGCTTCCTGTATTTTTTTTTTTAAGTTTTGGCCGTGTGGTGTACTTTTTTCCATACTTATAGCCTTATACTGCTTGGACATAACTTGTCACACAGTACAGTTCTATGTAGCAATTGCTGTGACAGGAATGGGGGTGTGGACACGTTTCAGAAAATTTGACCAAAAAAAAGAAAGCTGTGAGTCATACATGACACAAAAAGCATTTCCTGAGCACTGTCCACCAGTAGCAGCAACATTGGCCAAAAGTGATGATCTCACACTGCAGAAGACAGCCTTAACCTTTGCCCGTGAATTCTGTGGTTGTGCTGCAAAATCCTGCAGCTTTGGCCATCACAAGGCTGTTTTGCTGAGCTACTGATCATTGCTGTTGATTATTTTACTTCTAACAATACAAAAACAAGACAATAAGGTTTGTGGCAATTTGCTCTCTCTTTTTCTTCTCTCACTCACTAAACAGTGATATTTCATAAAGAGTTGTTTGTCTATATATGTGTTTCAGATGTGGAGGCTTCCAGTGGAAAACGTGTCATTCAGAAAAATGTTGGCGATACTGTGGTGCTTTCATCAGGCTTACCAACTGATAATGTGACTGTGGCAAAGTGGAGATATGGAAGAACAGCAATTGCAGACAAAGATGTGGGAGTTTATAAAAAATCTCAATTTAAGGACAGATCAGAGCTGAACCCTGAAGACTTTACTTTAACAGTGAGAAAACTGACTCTTCAAGATTCTGGTGATTTTATTTTTGTCTCAGCAATAAATGGGAAACAGAGGGATTCAGTCACCATCACTCTGCAAGTTCATGGTAAGAGAATTTTGTCATTAAACAATTGTCCTGCTAACTGTAAGTAAAGGAATACTCTATTAGCTTAACAGGGTTAGCATTATTAGCTCATATTTTTACTCTTGTTTTCTGTGCATTTTGTCCTCATATCTGTTTACTGTTACTAATGAATCCTACTGTAAATCCTTGTGAAAGCCAGTGTAATATTTTGGAATAGTTTATCAAACTCACTTTTTTATTGCACACTTTTTTCTCTCCCTGATTTACATATTTACTTAAAGATTGATAATAACACTGCCACCACCTTGAGATAAAATTAAATTTGTATAATTGTTTAAATAACAAGCCCTGCAACATTTCTTTTTCGTCATTTATAGAATAATGAGGACGTGATGTTTCTTTCTTTTCTTCTTTTCTGAGTAT